ATTTGAAATAAAAGGAAATTGGTTTGCAATCCTTGTATGATTAAACTAAATATAATAATACATTTTGTCTCATTGATTCCATGCAAGTTCTAATGAATGGACTCAAATTATGAAAAAAAGCCTAAACCAATGGATAATTATTTAAAGGGTTTATAGCCTAATCATGAACTTGCGAATAAATAAGCTCGGTCTCATATTTTTCTTCTTCTATTTAAAGAATCAAACAAATTTGCATATTAAAAGTATTTCAGAGCAGTTTCTGAGTGCTAAGTCAACAATTATGTTTTATTTCACAAGTCATATTTAAGTCACACTTCATGTAAGTATGAAAATGCGTTGAATAAGAGTGATTAAAATGCAAGTCTGAAAGAGATTGTTTTAAGTTCAAAGGACAAGACTTTTGCATTTACTTTTGCAGGATTCCTTCAAAAAAAAAAAAATGATACTAGCAATGAATGAGTTTTTTTAGTCACCTTATGGGAGTTTCCTTACCTTATTGTTTTAGTTAACGTCAAACATTTCACTTAAAGAGAACAATTAGTCCAGTCAAATTCACAGCTGAACTCGCCATTGCTTTTTCAAACAAACACACTAAATGTGTGTACATTATGTTCAGATGCATGTTGACATCGATGTGTAAGACCAAAAAAAAAAATACAATGTCAAGAAATGTCTTTCTTTTGGAATTTAGTTCAAACGGGGTTTCCTAAGGGGTGACAGAACGTTAGACTTGATTTTTTTTTGTTAACTTTGAGATACGTATTATTAATTTGTTATATAGTATAATCTTTGTTTATCTGTGAAATAAAGAAGAAAAAATAACAATTTCGCATAATCTATTAACGTAATTGTTAAAAGACGACCAATTTAGGTATTATTTTCTATAATAATAAGACACATGCTTAAAAGATAGAAAGACATCAATTTCTGACCCCAATGGCAAGTAAGAAACAGAAAATAGAAAATTTTCCAAATTACCGCCAAATTATTTTTTCCGCGAAATTAACGCAATTTCAGAATGGCGGGCTTTAATATCAGTCCCATTGTTGTCTTAAGAAAGTAGCAACAACGGTCGTTTCTAAGGGCTTGCTTTCCGACTGTTATAATGTCTTTGATGATATATTAAAAGATATTAATACAAAAAAAAATAATATTATTCACACGTGACAAATTACTTAGTTACGAAATGTCAACTTTGGATTTGACGGTAGCTTACGAGAAAAACATGTAAATTAAAAATGGCAAATGTTGGGTTTGAGAATTAAAAGAATTAAGCACATTTTTTCTAGCGGTTGTTTACGAAATAATTCATGCAAGCTACAGATTTATTAGAATGTTTTAGTTTTATCTATCAGGGAGTAAAAAAGAACAGCCACACACACGGCATACCCACCCTCGCTTCAGTTTTTTAATGACCGTATTTGTCCTATTAGAATCGAAATAATTCATGGAAGCCATAGATTTGTTGTAAATTTACACATGGCCTGGGCCGTGATATTCGTTAATTTTATCCCTCGCTAACGCTCAGGATAATATTCGAATATCACGGCCCGGCCATGTGTAAATTTCCAACTAATCCATGGATTTCATGAATTATTTCATAATTTTGTGCGGCAACAACATCATGAGATCTGATACTGATACATACATGTGATCTCTTGTATTACCGGATAATAAAGTAGGTGAATATAAAATTGAGAATGGAAATGGGGGATGTGTCAAAGAGACAACAACCCGACCATAGAACAGACAACAGCAGAAGGTCACCAACAGGTCTTCAATGCAGCGAGAAATTCCCGCACCCGGAGGCGTCCTTCAGCTGGCCCCTAAACAAATATATATACTAGTTCAGTGATAATGAACGCCATACTAAACTCCAAATTGTACACAAGAAACTAAAATTAAAAACAATACAAGACTAACAAAGGCTAGAGGCTCCTGACTCGGGACAGGCGCAAAAATGCGGCGGGGTTAAACATGTTTATGAGATCTCAACCCTCCCCCTATACCTCTAGCCAATGTAGAAAAGTAAACGCATAACAATACGCACAAATTCAGTTCAAGAGAAGTCCGAGTCTGATGTTAGAAGATGTAACCAAAGAAAATAAACAAAATGACAATAATACATAAATAACAACAGACTACTAGCAGTTAACTGACATGCCAGCTCCAGACTTCAATTAAACTGATTGAAAGATTATGTCTTCATTATATGAATATCAGGCACAATCCTTCCCGTTAGGGGTTTAGTATCATACCATCATAACATATATGAGAAGAACATAACCCGTGTCATGCCAACAACTGGTTTTTAAATAAATGTGTTTAGTGCCGATGCAAAGACCCTATAAGTGAATCAATATTAACGCCAAAATATGCAATCTTTAATGACCTGACAACAGTATCGTAACTATATCCCTTCTTAATAAGTCTATTTAAAGGTTTTGTTAGCTTCAGAGGTGAATACTGACACTTTTGTGCTTTATAAAGAATATTTCCATAAAAAAATGGATGTGAAATACCTGAACGTATAAGAAGTCTGCATGTTGAGCTATATTTACGAATGATGTCCTTATACCGATGATAAAATTTAGTAAATGTTTTGACTAGTTTGTGATATCGAAAACCCTGGTGTAATAATTTTTCAGTAATACATAAATTTCTCTCGTTAAAATCTAAAACATTGTTACATACACGAGCGAATCGTACAAGTTGAGATATATAAACACCGTAAGATGGTGACAAGGGAACGTCACCATCTAAAAATGGATAATAGTTGTTGTTCTTGATTCTTGAAAATTTAAATGTGGGTTTCAAACGTCCAATTTGCAATTTTTTTCAAATAGTACGCCAGCAAGGAAAACTTGTACTATGACGTCAGATTCAATGTTCTGAAGAAAGACAACTCTTTTCTTCAAAACGAACGAGAAAAAAACATGAAAATTAATCATAACTTTTTTGAAAGGTCGGTGACATATACATTTTTTTGCTTTATTTTGAAGAGTACACATGTCACTTTCCTTCTTGAAATTTTTATGAAAAAATCTCTGGTAGATAATTTTTAATACTTAAAACGTTTTTCATTCTTGCGTTTTATTTTTGGCGGGAATGAAATAAATCATATTTTTTAAGATCAAAACAATAAGAGTCTTAAACTCTTGAACCTTTATTTGATAGACACAAATCTGCTGTTTAACATGAAACAAGAATTATGCTTGTAGGTTTGATATAATGGGATTTTTTTAGAGTTTAAATAACAAGCAAATATCATGTTAATGTTCGGGAAAACATGAAACTGAGGTTGCTATAGTGACAAAACTAAGTCGGTGACCCCCAATTATTTTATCATATTTTGTTCCTCGAATCATGAAATACCTTCACACAAAGTTTTAAGGAAAAATCACTGGTAGAACTGAATAGGCTGTTTGGTCTTTAAAGAAACATATTTCTCATTTTCACCCTGTAGATCAAACAAGTTACTTTTGTTTTATATTATAATATTTAGTTTTCAGAAAATATTGTTTTCGTTTTGATTTGTTTTGGTAAATTTCATTTCGTGTCGTTCCATTCTTATTCCGTTTCACACTTGTAACAGGTATCCACTTTTTAGTCCTTTCCCCCTTATATTTTAATCAAAAATCAAAAAATTCAAACTTTCAAAAAGCGAAATGATAAAAACTGAATAAACTCCACGTTATGTTTATTATTTTTAAAGTTTGAATAAATATCTAAACTATTAAATTTTAAAACGAATTTTAGAATTTTAGAATTTTAATTATTTGGTGAAATTTTCAAAATTAAAAAAGATTAGAATGTTGATATTTAAAACTTTAACCAAAAATCCCAAAACACTACATTTGAACTTGTAACAACAATAAATGTGGTTAAGTGACAATGTCAGTGTCCTGAAGTATAAATGCATTGCGAAAACAAATATTTCATCAATGAAATTAGAGTCAGATATTCCCAGGAATATCCTTTTTATATTGGATACAAATTTTAATAAGTCTGATACAGACTTTTTGTAGGTAAAGCGATCCAACTGAGGTACTACACAGAGGCGTCAAAAGGCGTAATTATGGAGTAAAGGGGGTTGGCGTCAAAAGGCGTCATTATGGAGGAAAGGGTTAAGGCCCCACAAATTTATGTTAAAAATGGCGCAAAATCCTGCATTCTGGGGGTCTCATGAACTCTTAATTCAGTCCTCTGCAATCAACATTTTTTTTAATGATGATAAGTTAAACTTAAAAATTAAAATATAGTTGATGATATTGATGTTCTCACTATATCCGGACTTTCAGCTAACAAGTAATTCAAGTTGTTCCATGAAAATGGCGAAGACATGACACTGTGAGACATGGTGATCATTCAGGGAAAGGCCGTTCACATTTAATCTAAGGCTTATTCTTGATAATATTTTTTAACTGGAGTCGGGCAATTAATCAATTAATTCTGACACATAGACAAACATTTTTTTTTAATTTCTAATAATACTAGTATTCATAATTACATGTACACATAATAATGACAATAAATCAAATAGTGAATTAGACTTTCAGGCAAAAAGATCATAGGTACTTGGGGGACAGGACAATTTTTTTTTTTTAGACTTCCCCCTTTTTTTCCAAAATCGGTTATTTGTTTTGTTTTCTATTAATTCCATTTATTTTCGCGTTTTTCAATACATATGTTATCTTCAACACGGTTCATGTTGTTATTCTGAATATGAAAGAACCTTTAGTAGCACTGCGAGCAAGATCACATAGAAGTTTACTCACATATCAAACACTTATGCTACTTTGTATTCTAAACACCGAAAATTAACAGTTATATAAGAATAAGAATATTTTATTTTCCAATTAAAGGGCCCTATAAAGAGCTTTTATGACATAACATACACATACATAAGATTATGGTAGATATTCTATTATTTTAATCGTACGAAAATTAGTAGGCGACTAGCTAGTATAATTTTTGAAAATTCATCCTCTATTTTTCAGACAATATCATCAAGACAGTACCCAGAGACAGTAAATCATCATGACACGTGTTGCTATGATTACACTTCTCGTCGTGATTTGTACGGCACTTATTGTGGAAGCCAAATCTGTACATAGAAGAAAGAGGAATAGTATGCATCTATATTTAAACTTCCGTTTCTAGAAAAATCTATTGTACATTTCTTTACGTATTTTTGTGATTTTTTTATGATAGACTCCCTGTTTTCACACGCTCGGATCTCCAAATGTTATATTCCTTTTCATGCTTCTACAAGTCAAGAGTGATTTTTTTTTGTAACAGATACCCATAACTTTAGTCCTTATATATTCGATTATAAAAGTAAGTGTCTCATGTCGTGCAAGTAAATTACATTGATTACTGTTTTTTATTACAAAAGGAGTATATCTATTTGCAGCAATCTTCATGTTTGAACAACGCGAATAAGCAAGAATCCGAAAGTGACTGAACAACACAAGTTCACAAAGAACGTGAAAAGTAACTAAAATCCGATTCAATTATAACATTAACAAGTATCTCCAAAAATACACATGGTCGAGACAGACCGGTTTAGAACAAGCACAACATCTATGATTTTTTTTTAACGAACACAATATTTTGTCCAGTGTTCAATTGTTGGTAAACGAAAAAGAAGATATATCTATAATTTGTATCGTTCATAAGGTGGAGTTAACCTTTCCAGCTCAATTAAAATGACAGACGGTTCTTAAATTTTATTTTCATTGTTGTAGGAGAGAGTCAAAGACTAAAACGCAAAATGCCACATGGCTGGGAGAAAAAATTTGACAAGAAAGTGAATGGTTTTATATATATAAACCACCTCACTGGAGCAGTCGACCGTACACCTCCACCTCCTGGTATGTAACTGTAATTGTTAGATGTTTTCAATGTTTCAGAAATAGTTTCCATTTTATAAACAAGGTAATGATGTCAACCATGATCATTGTTGACTTGGACTGATTAGTGTGATGTTTTAATAACCGTTCACATAATGTCAACCATGGTCATTGTTGACTTGGACTGATTTAGTGTAATGTTTTAATAACCGTTCCCATGGTGTCAACCATGATCATTGTTGACTTGGACTGATTAGTGTAATGTTTTAATAACCGTTCCCATGGTGCCAACCATGGTCAGTGTTGACATTGATGGGTGTAATGTTTTAATAACCGTTCCCATGGTGCCAACCATGATCATTGTTGACTTGCACTGATTAGTGTAATGTTTTAATAGCCGTTATCATGGTCATTGTTGACTTTGATGGGTGTAATGTTTTAATAACCGTTCACATGGTGCCAATTATGGTCATTATTGACTTGGACTGATTAGTGTAATGTTTTAAAAACCGTTCCCATGGTGCCAACATTGGTCATTGTTGACTTTGATAGGTGTTATGTTTAAATAATTGTTTCATGGTGCCAACCATGATCATTGTTGACTTGGACTGATTAGTGTCATGATTATAATAACCGTTCCCATGGTACCGTGTTGACTTGTACTGATTAGTGTAATGTTGTAATAACCGTTCCCATGGTGCCAACCATGATCATTGTTGACTTGAACTGATAAGTGTAATGTTTTAATAACCGTTCCCACGTGCACGGTGTCAACAATGATCATTGTTGACTTGGACTGATTATTGTAATGTTTAAATAACCGTTACCATGATCATTGATGACTTCGACTGATTAGTGTAATGTTTTAATAACCGTTACCATGATAATTGTCGACTTCGACTGATTAGTGTAATGTTTTAATATTCATTCACATGGTGTCAACCATGATCATTGTTGACTTGGACTGATAGTGTAATGTTTTAATAAACGTTACAGAGGTCATTGTTGACTTGGACTGATTAGTGTAATGTTTTAATAACCATTCACATGGTGCCAACCATGGTCATTGTTGACTTTGATTGGTGTAATGTTTTAATACTCGTTCCCATAGTGCCAACCATGATCATTGTTGACTTTGACTAATTAGTGTAATGTTTTAATAACCGGTACCATGGTCATTGTTGACTTCGATTGATTACTGTAATGTTTTAATAACCGTTCCCATGGTGCCAACTATGATCATTGCTGACTTTGATGGGTGTAATGTTTTAATAACTGTTCCCATGGTGCCAACCATGATCATTGTTGACTTCGACTGATTAGTGTAATGTTTTAATAACTGTTCCCATGGTGCCAACCATGATCATTGTTGACTTTGACTGATTAGTGTAATGTTTTAATAACCGTTCCCATGGTGCTAACGATGATCATTGTTGACTTCGACTGATTAGTGTAATGTTTTAATAACCGTTTCCATGGTGCCAACCATGGTCATTTTTGACTTTGATGGGTGTAATGTTTTGATAACCGTTCACATGGTGCCAACTGGTCATTGTTGACTTGGACTGATTAGTGTAATGTTTTAATAACCGTTCCCATGGTGCCAACCATGATCATTGTTGACTTGGGCTGATTAGTGTAATATTTTAATAATCGTTCCCATGATGCCAACCATGGTCATTGCTGACTTTGATGGGTGTAATGTTTTAATAATTGTTCCCATGGTGCTAACCATGATCATTGTTGACTTGGACTGATTAGTGTAATGTTTTTAATAACCGTTCCCATGGTGCAGTGTTGACTTTGACTGATTAATGTAATGTTTTAATAACCGTTCCCATGGTGCCAACCATGATCATTGTTGACTTCGACTGATTAGTGTAATGTTTTAATAACCGTTCCCATGGTGCTAACCATGATCATTGTTGACTTCGACTGATTAGTGTAATGTTTTAATAACCGTTCACATGGTGCCAACCATGGTCATTGTTGACTTGGACTGATTAGTGTAATGTTTTGATAACCGTTTCCATGGTGCCAACCATGGTCATTGCTGACTTTGATTGGTGTAGTGTTTAAATAACCGTTCACATGGTGCCAACCACGGTCATTGTTGACTTGGACCGATTAGTGTAATTTTTACATAACCGTTCACATGGTGTCAACCATGATCATTGTTGACTTGGACTGATTAGTGTAATGTTTTAATAACCGTTCCCATGGTGCGAACAATGGTCATTGTTGACTGTGATGGGTATTATGTTTTAATAATGGTTCCCATGGTGCCAACCATGATCATTGCTGACTTTGATGGATGTAATGCTTTAATAACCGTTCACATGGTAACAACCATGGTCATTGTTGACTTGGACTGATTAGCGTAATGTTTTTAATAACCGTTCCAATGGTGCAGTATTGACTTGGACTGATTAGTGTAATGTTTTAATAACCGTTCCCATGGTGCCAACTATGATCATTGTTGACTTGGACTGATGAGGGTAATGTTTTAATAGCGGTTCCCATAGTGCCAACCATGGTCATTGTTGACTTTGATGGGTGTAATTTTTTAATAACCGTTCCCATGGTGCCAACCATGGTCATTGTTGACTTTGATGGGTGTAATGTTTTAATAACCATTCCCATGGTGCCAACCACAGTCTTCACGCTGAGTGGCAGCCCAGGCAGCCCAGGCTTGTAATATTGCTCTCGGGCCTGTAAAAATCATATCTACAAGCCAACAGAATCTAACTAAAAATTTTCAAAAATTGAGCTCCGGGCCTGTAGATTTAGCAGTTCATCGTGAACTGCAACCACGGTCATTGTTGACTTTGATGGGTGTAATGTTTTAATAACCATTCCTATGGTGCCAACCATGATCATTGTTGACTTGGGCTGATTTGTGTAATGTTTTAATAATCGTTCCCATGGTGCCAACCATGATCATTGTTGACTTCGACTGTTTAGTGTAATGTTTTAATAATCGTTCCCATGGTGCTAACCATGATCATTGCTGACTTTGAAGTTTTTAATGTTTTAATAACCGTTCACATGGTGCCAACCATGATCATAGTGACTTCGACTGATTAGTGTAATGTTTTAATAACTGTTTCCATGGTGCCAATCGTGATCATTGTTGACTTCGACTGATTAGTGTAATGTTTTAATAACCGTTCCCATGGTGCGAACCATGGTCATTGTTGACTGTGATGATTATTATGTTTTAATAATCGTTCCCATGGTGCCAACCATGATCATTGTTGACTTCGACTGTTTAGTGTAATGTTTTAATAATCGTTCCCATGGTGCTAACCATGATCATTGTTGACTTCGACTGATTAGTGTAATGTTTTAATATCCGTTCCCATGGTGCAAACCATGGCCATTGCTGACTTTGATGGTTGTAATGTTTTAATAACCGTTCACATGGTGCTAACCATGATCAGTGCTGACTTTGATGTTTGTAATGTTTTAATAATCGTTCCCATGGTGCCAACCTTGATCATTGTTGACTTTGACTGGTGGTGTTTTGTGTCAATTTTAGTTTCAATGGTGTCAAACAAGGACCATATCAATTAATTCTGCGCTTTTGAGAAATATATATTGTTTTATTTTATATATTAACTTTTGAAAAATGTTCGATTTGTTTCGTTATATTTCGTTTTATTTTTGTTTTTAATGTATAATATTTAATTGATAGATACTGGCAATAAACCAATACCCACATCAGCACCAATAACAAAACACGAACAAGGACGTGAGTATAATGTTTTTTCACTATTTTTCTTCATTGAAAGTAAAATGTCTTCTGCAAACACTAGTTTTGTTGATGTTTACACCATACATTATTGTATTTTCCTAATAAGGTGTTTTATGCAAATAAGTTCGAAAAAAAATGATATTACCTAAATCTTTACAACTCTCTTTATTTTTTAAATTGTGTTTTCAGTACACTTTTACATTCATTGTTGATGCATCTTAATCAAAATGTAAAATTATATTTTCATAACCATTACGTTACATGAAACATTACTAGGACTCGAACATTTGATATAGCCTGTAAATAGTGATAAACTAACTCGAACATTTGATATAGCCTGTAAATAGTGATAAACTAACTCGGACATTTGATATAGCCTGTAAATAGTGATAAACTAACTCGGACATTTGATATAGCCTGTAAATAGTGATAAACTAACTCGAACATTTGATATAGCCTGTAAATAGTGATAAACTAACTCGAACATTTGATATAGCCTGTAAATAGTGATAAACTAACTCGAACATTTGATATAGCCTGTAAATAGTGATAAACTAACTCGAACATTTGATATAGCCTGTAAATAGTGATAAACTAACTCGAACATTTGATATAGCCTGTAAATAGTGATAAACTAACTCGAACATTTGATATAGCCTGTAAATAGTGATAAACTAACAAGAATCAACTGCAAAAACGTAAAGGGAATACGATACAGTAGAGATCACTCATTGATTTTTTCTTGAAATTTTGGTAGAAGATCAATTTCAATGTGTACTTTTGAAATATGCAAAGAAAAATATACATTCATGACTTGATTTTTGAAATAATTTGGTTCGAAAGTTTAGTAAAAAAGTACTTTTAAGAAAAGTAACAATACTTTTGAACGAACAGTCATAACTTAACCGGGTTTTTTTGTAAAATGTTCCCTTGATCCATGGCATCAACATGCTGTAACAAGTTTAAGGACCAAATTATTATTTTCTAAATTTATATTACTATTAGTGAAATGAAGAAATTGACAATATTTTTGCGTCTATTAATTCAGAAGTGCAGACAAAATTCGATCGTTGATTTTTTCTTAAAATTTTGGCGGAGCGTTCTTTAAACATTACTTGATTGAATGCAAAAGAAATAACTGGGGGTCCATGTGCTTGTTTCTTCAATAAAAGCAAAAAACCTTGATTTTTAATGGCAAACGGGACGTTTACCAATAAAGCGCTAAACTACGTTGAAAGAAGTTTTAATCGCAACAACGTCGTGAAATCTTTCCCGCCGTCCATGACTACGCTGTCAAGTTCAGTGGAATAGTTTTTTTTTCTAAAGCAATGATATTTATAATTTAAATTTATAAAGCTGGTAACTCGTTAATAGCATAAACTAGTTGCCAATCCTTTATGAATAGTTACGAAACTTGAATAGAAAAAGTATTCTAGAAAACTACTTTTAGAAAAGAAATGTTCGGAAACAGAAAAAGATAAATCTAATAAAAAAATAATAATTTGCATCTCTGTCCGACATTAGTCCTACAATTCATGTTGACACCACAGCTTGAGCATAGTTTTAATTATTCAAAAGACCCCGACATGACAAAATGTGAAACAATTAAAAAATTAGGACATTTGGTATGATTGCCAATGAAACAACTGTCAACCAAGCTACACCGTATAGTCAGCTTTAAAAAGCCCCGACATGAAAATGTGAACAGTTCAAACAAGAAACTAAGGGCCTACACTATAGGCATTACAATACATGAACACAAAACCATTATACCCACATTAACTCGTGTCAGCTTAAAAACTACTCTGAACATGTTTGAAACGTGAATATTTAAAGCTGTTTCGCGCAAATTCATGTCGTAATTTTCTCAATATAGTCCATTACGGTGTAGTATAACATTTCATAGGAAGTACACTTGTCGATATTAGAGCATCAAATTATCAGTTACCTAAGCTTGTCTTCAGGTTTTTTTTTTATTACGGTACATATAACTATTGACTTACTTGTCTGTATTATACCTCCAATCTAAGAGTGGTGCAACCACATTGTTTGTCCGTCCGTCCTGTTGTCCAAAAAATATTTTGTTCTTTATCTGAGAAACAGTACCTAACAGAAAGACTTCGTATTTGGTCAACAGCTTAACATCAATGAGTGGCATGGTGTGAACACTTTTCTGGTCTGTCAGATACCTAATTCCTGTGTACCGATAGTTCGATTTTTTTCTACTCTCAATATGTACATGTATAGGAGATATGCTTAGCACATCAACGGGTGCGTTTTTGTTTTGGTCTATAATACGGGGTTTATAACTGTGTCTCTTTAACTGACAGTTCTTCTTCTTACACATATTCCACTGATTAAATTCTAAAGATGCCGTAAAATTTTTAATGTACCTTTTCAAAGTCAGGAACAGTATGAGGCGTTGTCTTTATTTATTATGTTATTTTGTCATTTTGTTGATAGTCTCTGTTAGAATTATCCGAAACAATTCTCCATACAATTTAGAGTTTGCCAAATGGTGTAGATACTATATTTTGATTAAGACAGTATACGTTGATATCTAAATTACTTATTGGGCTTTTTGTGTAGTTGGGTTTCTGTCTTACATTGTATCGACGTATTATCATTACAAAAAAAATATATCTTTTATTCATTTCCTATATGAAATAAAACACATAGAAAATTATGAATGTGGATTTGATTTTTTTCACGAAGTTTTAATACTGTTGAATTCATTATTAATTAATAAATATAACAATTCTCATGATATGGCCGAATTTCTTAACAGGTACTACTTCTCAAATTCGCGCAACCGGATTTATGACGTCAGTGCATTTCCCGCAAATGTGACTATCTAACGCGACGTCGCGATATGTTATTGTTCTTATTAGAAATATCGCGAAATTACAACGTTCTGATTAACCCTTTCATACCGAAGTTATCCTTTTGGCACCCTCGTGCGCATGCCGAAATGATCCTTTTGGCACATCGGTGTAGATGCCGAAATTATCCTTAAGGATACCTAAATTTCTATTTTTAGACTATCGCAATCAAGAGTGCAATTTGCATGTTTTTACAACTGAGAACGTAGAATGGTTAAAACTATTTTTAAAACATATTTCAATTTAAGAAATAAAAGAATAAAACTACCAAAAATGTTGGCAATAAGTGTCAAATTTCGAAGCGTATCTGAAAAAAGTTTACGACTACAACAAACATGGCGGACGAGAATAATCCCAACAACATTCTCGTAAATTTGACAAAGAAAGCATAAAAAAACAGCAAAAAATAATTTCCTTTAGAACTTTACAACATATTTTAGGTTAGTCTATCAATTTTCAATCGTTTGTATGGTGTTTTAGATTCGAAATCAAGCCTCATGGTGTCTGGCAGGTGCTCGTATTCCTCGATTTTCTATCACTTTTTTGATCGCCTCAAAATCAACTAAAAATTAAGTTTCTGGTATCGTGTTGTATGTCATTAAATTCCTGTGATTTTCAAGATAATTTTCAATTTTTTTTGTTAGTGTCGTCATCCCGTGTTATTATTTTAAGAGTAATAAAACCAACAAGCTAAAAATAGAAAGCCGGAAATTGATGTTGTTATGGAAAATATGAAAACAACATGGCGGAATCACGGCGACATAACTTATACCATCCGGAATAAGTTCATTTTTTCGCTTGATTCAATTTATAAAAAGATTAAAACTATTTTCTTAGATGCTTATTAAATAAATGTGTTTATTTAGCGAAATTTTAGTCATCTTTGTGGGATAATTTTACTAAAAATAGTGATGGAAGTAAGTCTCGTCTCTTCGTAAAATATCACCCATAAAAAAATGTCGTCTGATGAATCCGATGATTTTGAAGGCTTCACCCGGGCAGAGGTCGACGAAGCTGAAGCAAGATATGAACAACAATTGCAATTTCAGGGTATAGGTGATGACACGGATGGTAATGAAAGTTCAGAAGGATCTGATAATGATATACCTGGACCTGCTGGTGATGCAGGAAATATTGATGGCTGGCATGAGGATTTCTTCTCTTCTTCTTCTTCTTTTAGGTCAACAAGGCTTCAATACTGAAGAATACATGTTGTTGCGCATGCGTGATTGACAAAAAAAAATTTTTTTTTATATGAATTAATAAAAATATTTACTAACAATTTAAGTGTTTGTATATACAGATTGTGATTAAAAAATATGCAATTTATGTACATGTTTTGGTTTGGATTTGTTTATCTGAAGCTAGAGAGAACAGCTGGTGTTAGCTGATCTCTAAAGCTGTCAACAGTGGCGGTTTCAATAACAGTTTGTGGTAGTAAGTTCCACTGAATAATTGTTTGCGGGAAGTACGACCATTTGTATGTGTCCTTGGAAGTTTGTATGTGTCTGTATGTCTGAGTATGGTTTTGTCTTGTTCTGCTGTCTGTTTGTTCAAGAATATGCGATGGAATGGCTACAAGACAGTGTATTACTTTGTAAAATAAAATAAGTCTGGTTTTTAGGCGTCTCTCAGCTAGTGGTGGCCATTTCAACTGATTTAGCATGTTTGTGACACTGCTCGTGTAATCGTAGTTGTTGTGTACATAACGAGCAGCTCGTCTCTGCACATTTTCTAATTTTGTCTGTTGATCTTTCATATGGGGGTCCCAGACACTACAACTATATTCTAGTTTGGGTCTTACTAGTGCCTGGTATGCTCTTGATTTTATTTCTGTGTTAGTAACTCTTAAATTTCTTTTTAAAAAACCAAGTGATCTGTTCCCATTTGATACTATACTGTCTATGTGCTTGTTCCACTTAAGATTGGATTGTAAGGTGATGCCGAGGTATTTTGCAGATGTTACTGATTCGAGAATGTGATTGTGGAGGATGTAATTATGCCGGTAGTTATTTTTCTTTTGTGAGATGGTAAGGTTGGTACATTTATCAGGGTGAAATGCCATGAGCCAATCTGACTCCCATCGTGCTGCTGAGTCTAGATCTAGTTGCAGTT